CAAAAATATGGCAAAAATTGTTACAAAATTTTGACGAATACGATCATTGCAAAATTATGTTGCAATAGCACTATTTCCTTGTAGTGGTAATAAATAGTTTAGCGAGATAACGTAATAAATAGCAATAAATTATAGACTCTTTTATCAATAATTTATATGTCATCTATTTCTAACTTCTACAATATGATACAATGATTCAACATGATAATAAATGATTTATCAGAATAAATTCAAATTTACCATATAACTTATAATTTTATTTTTTTGGTGAAGTATAACTTATACTTTTATTGCGATACAATATTATTTATACTGTTAATAAATTATTTAGCATATTAAGTTAAACACTAAAATTTATTTAGCATATTAAGTTTATAAAAATGTGGTTAGAGTTTAGATTTTGTAATTAAACAAAATTATATTTTGGTTTGGGTGACAAAATATTGGTTAGGTTTAAATTTTGTAACTAAATGAAATTATATTTTGGTTTGGGTTGACAAAATATTGGCTAGGGTTTAGATTTTGTAATTAAACAAAATTATATTTCAGTTTGGGTTGACAAATAGTGGTTAGGGTTTAGATTTTGTAAATAAACTAAATATAATTTCGGTTTGGGTTGATAAAATAGTGGTTTGGGTTAATAAATTTCTGCGATAACAAATTATTAACATGTTTAAAATTTTGGTTTGGGTTTGGGTTTACATGATAACAGATTATTAACATGTAATTGAACGAAATATAATTTTGGTTTATGTTGACAAAATAGTGGTTATGGTTTATAGTAAGAAGGTGAACAATAATGTTGGGATGAACCCAAGAATAGCTCCATATAATATTACTTAACATGTTATTGCTATTGATGACATTCATTATTGTTTTGTATATAGTATAGTAAATGAGTTAACACGGTAACTGTAAATTTATCAAATAAATCATAAATTATCGCAATACAAAAAATTAAACACGATATAATTATAAACTTATATGTATATATATATATATATTGTTATCATGGTAATTCAATAGTTATTCATCTAACTTATAACATGATTTTACTTATATATTTGATTAACAGTATCGTCGATAATTAAATTATTATTCCGCTAAATAATTTGTTAGATGCGAAATGATATTTTTGTCCACTTATAGAAGTTGATGAGAGAGAACTAATTATACAAATATGGGTGCTATATTCTTAATTTTTGAGTCAACTGGGTATAAAATTTTAATTCACCCTTAATATAATTAAACTATTGTCCATCTATGCATTCTATATTCATGTTTGGTCATATATGCTTTAATATAATTAAAATCCTATTATAGCCTCATATTTATAAAAATCTTGAAAAATTATTAAAATTCAAAAAAAAAAAATTATTTCTAAAAGCATTTTGAAGAAAAAATAGGACATATTCTTAAGAGAAATCTTGCAAAACAAATAAGTGTTAACGTCAATTATCAACGATCAAGATCAATAATTGAATTTCAATAGATACAATAAGCATTTGTTCTACAAGTTAAACTAATTTGACATGATATATATACCAGTATTATAAATATTTTTTAGAATATGAATAAATGCTAAAAAATGTATTCTAAAATTTTTATAACAAAGAGAAAACTATGGAATATGTATTCTAAAATTTCGTAGATATTAGTATTCTAAATATCGTAGAACATAAATAACTTTTCAATTTCGTAGAACATGTAGAATGTGTAGAATACATAATCTAAATTTCTTAAATTATGTAGTGTATAGAATACGCATTCATAACTGCAGAACATGTATACTAAACTTTATAGATCAAATTTTATCCATCCAAAGCGTCAACAAAAATAACATATTTTAAAATTTGTATGTATCCTCATGTCTTTAATATCATTTTTCTACAAACACTTCTTAATTTTTCTTTTTAATCGATTGAAAATCTTATAAAAGTGGTCGCTTAAGAATATTTGGCATTTGTAATAGAATGCATAGATGGATCTATATATACATTTTTGAAGTACATTTGGTACTAAAATCTATTTAGATTTATAACCTTTTATTTTATAATATTTGCATAATCAAACCCTTACCAATTGAATAAATAACAAAACTTAAAAGTAAAATTTGTAATTAAATCACAAGCAAATCGTAAAATTGGAAACAAATATTTATTACATCAAAAAGATTTCCTAAAATCTCTCTCTTTAATATATCGAATCTCTCTCCAATATATTTATGTAATCTTATTTGTTTTTAATTTATATTATTACATAAAATATATTTATAATAAAAATAAAAAAAAATTCCACACATTTTGCAATTTAAATTTTTGAAAACGGACGTATATAACTCAATTGATAAAGGAAAAATATATGTACAACGTCTAAAAAAATTTAGATAATAGTTCAAAACCATTATAAATAGTACTAATATGTTCACAACTACAAAGGAACAGGAACTTTGATTTCTCATGTATCCAAATTAAAATTTTAAAGTTTTATAGAATATTTAAAATATTTAAACTCTACAAAAATTTAAAATATTATTAATATGATTGAACGGTTTTGAGTTTATATAAACATGATTATATGTTTCTTACGAGTTGTCTATATTGAAAATGTTTTTTTTTTTTACGGGTTAAATTAAAATATAAATTTTTATTTACAACAAATCGTCCCGCGGTGTACCGCATGTTTTTTTTGGTGGGAAGTGTATCGCGGACTGACCACATATATCTTTGAGTCTACTTATTATACAAATTCATTAAATTATATAAAATTAAAATGATATAAACACGTATAAAATTAGAGTATATAAACCAACTACGAAAATGATAAATCAAACAAATATATTAAATTATGGACCCGTGGTGTACCACGGGGTAAATCCTAGTAATATTTTAATTATTTATCCTTTATTTCCAATTTTCCATATATTTATCAAATGGAAACTACAATAAATTTTCGAAATTATCAAAGTGACGGATAATCCTAATTGATATGGAGATCATTTTGTTAGATAATGGATTGAGTTTGATAATGGTTCTTGACTGAGGAATCGTTGTATCGATCCAATCTTTCTTATAGGCTCATAATCTTTAATCGTTGTATCGTTCTTTGGCATTGATGTGAAAATATATTTACACATTAAATGGAAACTAAAATAACTTTAAGCAAAACATTTCCAAGCTTGATAAAACAAAAGAAGTTAAAATTAACGAAACAAGGAAAGATAAAACAGTGGTTTTTTTGTTCTTTCAGTAATTACAAGTGTGACAATAGTGACCACATACTCTACCCCTCCTCGAAATACAGTAGATCATAGATGAAGAAAACATGATGAAATTGCATAAACAATAAGAAAGGGTTTAGAAATCTTCTCCAAATTCTCAAAGAGGATGGATTCTTCTTTGTTTAGAAAGCAGAGAACAACGTTTAGAATTTAGAAAAATGAAGGATAGCTGCTAAAAAGTCGAGTCTGGGATGTAAAAAAAATAGGAAACGAGTTTGTTATATTTTGGATCGAATATGGGCCAAAATATGCGAAGAGGTAAGGGATCGATCGGTCTGGGTGTGGACTGATCGGTTTGGCACTCTCACGTTTCAATTCTGCATCTGCTTCAACTACTCGTCAGAATGACATGTCTTCATGAAATCGGATGTAACTATTTAATACACCGTTAGAATTCCTTGAAATCACTTGAAAATGAAAGTTAACATCTGTATCCATATTGTGTAAAGATATGAGAAAGATCTAACGGTGGAAAGTTGTCCATATGGTCTCAAACATCTGACACTTCTACATGTGTGTTTGCATCCCAAAATGGCTCGTTTTATTCCAAAGCAACCAAAAATCTGTTAAGAATCTATAATAGACTAAACAAATCTAAAAACGCACTTTGACTCAATAAAATTTATAGAAATAAAGAGAAAAGAAAGATTTAAAACCGATAAAAATAGAATATATCAATTAGTTTCACAAAACAGTTGTTTTAGTATGGGACAAGTTAACAAGTGTTCCGGAAAATAAACGCCCATTCAACATTATGTGCAAATGAACCTTTCAATCAATTTTTGCAACTCTATCATTTACATCTAAAAAATATAAAACAATCATACTAAATCAAAAATAATAAGTAAATACAACTCTTATACGTATTTTCTAAACGTTTTTGCAATCACATACATTTAATTTTGAAAGTTTTAAAGATAGTTTTGAACTTCTCGTCACGAGGGCTATTTGATATATTATTTTCAAAAGTTTTACAAACATGATAGTGGTAAAAACGAGCTATAATACGTTTTTTTTTTTACTTTGTAAGGCTGACTTGTATTTTCTGGATCTAGAAAGTAAAGTTGCAAAAAATAGCGACTGAATTGTTTATTTGTAGAAAACCCATATCAATACGAAACTTGATTTGTGACATGGCTTCAATCAAGTTTAAAATTTTAAATACCCTTAAATCTTCCTAAATTTAAATCCTAATAATGTTTTTTGGTACGTAGAAGAAGAGAACGATAAACATTTCAAAGCATTCCTAAAACGCTTATTGACGACTCTTTTAGGAGTACACACTTTGGTCGTAAATTATCTATGGTCACAAATGAGATTCACTTTTGCAACGATTATGTAACTATTTTAACAGTCATATATAAGCAATAGACGAAAAGAATTATATAGATATTCTAAATTAAAAACGGAAAATATCGTTTAATTCATGAATTTTCAAATTAAGCCATTTAAACGTGATTAGGACAAACAAGTGTCGTAGATTCGTGACCTAAGTATGGTTGTGAATAAGTCACACATGTCATGTCAAAGACATCGCAACTTAAGCTTGCTGGACAGGTAATCTGTTTATGTTTGGTTCTTTGTGTTTCTTTGGCATTGATGTGAAAATATATTTATTAAATGGGAAACTCCAATAACTTCTCGAAATTTTTTTCCAATAAACCAAAAGATGTCAAAATCAACGAAACAAGGAAAGATAAAACAGTGGGTTTTCTGTTCTTTAATTACACGTATAGCGAGCACCTCTACCACTCGCCGGATCATAAATACCCTTCAGTATTTCAACGGTAAGACTTGGGTAATTGACAACAAAATCCTCGAACTCAGCCGTGCTACAAATTGCACTCATATTGGCTCTAATATAACCTAAGGCATCATCACTGAGGGCTTGGTCAATAGGGATTTGGGCGAGTGCAAGGACGGTTAGAGCGTTAGACACATTCATAGATGTTCTAAGATGGCTTCTGCATAGGTCACGTAGATGTGGAATCTCATATTTGTCAGCTGCAAGAAAGAGTGACATAACATGTTGTTTCCCTTGTTCAGAAAGCATAGTGCCATCACTATAGATGAACTCAACTAAAGCATCTAACTCTTCATGTTTCAGCTCCGAGAGTGTGATTGTCTCTAGCTTAGTCGTTGCCTTGATCTCGTCAGATTCAAGTATCTTCTTAAACACCTCAGATCTTGCAGACTATAAACATTTCCACATCAAAGAAAGAACATAAACATAAGGTAAAGGAAAACAAATAAGTATATGTATGTAAAGAAAGAAGAAGATACCAGAACAATCTTGTGGGCAGATATAGATACGCCTTTCTCATCACTTTCTCCTGCCTTAAGGCATACATCGACGTGTCGTTGTTCTTTCAAGGCCCTTGCAAGTCCACCTACGAATAGCTCTTGGTTGGTTTGTTTTGCCATGTTTTGTAAAGATTGTAGTGGTTTTGATTATGGTTACGATTTGTGGGTTATATAGAGAGTCTTGAGGGTCCACATTACTCTTTTGGATGCTTTCGTTTCCCGAGACTTTTGAACTCGTAAGGAGACGTTGGTACTCAATACAATAATTAAAGTCACAAATTTATTTGCACTCTACTTTAAGTAAATTTTATGAATTTTCACAAAATGGATGTTTTAGGCTATAGCAAAGCCAAGTCAGTAATAAGTGTTGTCGGAAAAATTAAAATTAGGCTTGGAGAATCTCTTAATCTTTTTTCTTAACACTAAACTCCCTTTCAAGTTTCAAACATGACTTGGCTTTAATATATTTTTACAAAATCTTAAAAGTACACATGTTCGATTGTCTTTTTGGTTCGGTTCAAAAGTTCCTAACTTAGATTAGTTCTGTATAGTTTTCAAATTCTGAAGTAACCGGGAAATAAATTACACCACCCGAAACGATCTATATAATCGAACTCGCAAGACTACTTAGGAGCATATTAATCATTTGATGATTTGTAAACCCTAAACCTATCTAGATCATTACCATCATTCTCTAACTCAATGGTTCGTCTCTATCTTTAATCTAGCTTAATGCATGCGCAGCTTAGCGTTTTCGTTTCTGTTAACAGTGATGTGATGTGAATAAAAACCCAAACATCGATTATTTATGGGTGTGTTGGAGAATTTATAGTTTTGTATCAATATTTTTAAAATGATACAATACAACTATGATTTATTTGTATCACTAAAATTGACTTGATGCTAACCTATTTAATAATAACCTCAATTATATATGTATACTAGTTGTTGACCCGCGCTGCGCGCGGGAGTTTTATAATTGTTTTTTATATTTTAAAATTTATATTTTGATTTTTCTTCGTTTTCTGTTTATTTTTTTTGTTTTTACTGTTTTTTTTGTATTAATTTAGTATATGAAATGTTTATTTTTATTTTTTTAACTTTTATTTAGGTCAAATAGTAGCTGTTAAAACCTTACATTTCAAAAGCCTTCAATTCTTGTAAGCCAAATTATTCTGGTGAATCCACTTATTTATTTATCCAAGTGTTTTTATTTTACTTTTTAGTTTTTTTTCTACTTCTTATGCCTAAAATCGGTTGTGTTTTCGTTTGAGGTGGCTTCGGATGACATCAATTTAGTGGTATATCTATCTGTATAGTATAAATATCCTTGCTTTGTATTTTGTTTTTGTATTTAGCCCCATTAATCAAAAAATTGATCATTACTTTATAAATAGATACTTGTTTTATTTATTTTGGACATAAATGTTTTTTACTATATTATTTATTTTCTTAAAACCACTATTGAATATAAAAATAAAATAAAAGCTAAGTTATGAGGTAGAAAAGAAATTAAAAACTAAAGTGTTGTAATTCTAAATCAATGTAAAAAATTAAGATGAATGATGATGTGGGGTTTATATTATACATTATATTTGTTAGTATAATCGATAATTAGTAAGTTTTTTTTAACTCTTAATCAATTATATTTTTTAGTTTTATAATATATAATAATAATAAAAAGACCTTTCATATTTATTTTGGAAAAACTTATTTACATAGGTTTAAATATTAAAATTAAATGATAAAATGGTATAATTAATTTTAAAAATTAAATAATAAAATGAGGTGGATGATGATGTGGCTTAAGCAGAAGAGAGAAAAAGTTAACTTTATATATATAGATATATAGTTGATGCTAAATCATATATATTTGTCTCATTTGTATTAAGTGATTTAATTACTATCATATAGTTTTGTGCTACAACTTAAGTGATTTAATTTAATTCTTCTCTTTTTTTTTGTAGTGGTTGAACATTTTTTTTTCTTGGACTGTCTCCACTTTGTTTAGTGGGATGATATAATTATATAAGTATTCATATGATATACATTATTTTTTCACTTCATGTCATATTGGTCTGAATTTATAATAATTCATTTTTTTTTTCTAACAAATTTATATTGGTTTGTCCTACTATAAAGCATCTTTACCTACTCAAAGCATTATCCATATTATTATATATGAACGTTTTCATAATGATGAATAAAGTCACCAAACAGAACTAGTCTACTTGAAACCTCTCTGTCTAAGTGAGATCAACAATGGTCTTAAACGTGATCAAGATCTCCCGAGTCAGCCCTTCAACTAACTCAGCCACCCCACTCGTCCTCCCACTCACTTTCTTCGATTTACTTTGGCTAAAACTCAACCCTATCGAACGAGTCACCTTTTACAAACTCACTGACTTATCTCATTACTCCTTCTTCTCCACAATCCTCCCAAAGCTCGAGCGATCTTTCTCCCAAGTCCTCTCACATTTCCTCCCACTCTCTGGTCACCTCAGATGGAATCCACAAGATCCAAAGCCTTACGTTGTTGTCTTCCCACAAGACACTGTCTCTCTTACCGTGGCCGAGACGGACACTGACTTCTCACGAGTCTCAAGCAAAGAGCTTCGTCTCGAGACTGAGTTACGTTTTCTTATCCCTGAGTTAGAGATTTCATCTGACTCAACGTCTCTTCTTGCACTACAAATCACACTCTTCCCAAACCAAGGCTTCTCCATTGGATTCACAACCCACCATGTCATCATGGACGGCAAAACCGCTTTAAATTTTCATAACACTTGGGCTCATCTTTGTAAATACGGAACCATACCTCAAGATCTTGATCTACCTTTGGTTTTAGATCGTAAGGTCATCAATGTTCCGGCAAGACTCGAATCCAAGATCTTGCAGCTCCTACAGGACGACAAAGACGACGCAAGAACCTTAAAGGCTCCTCCAGCTAAGGATATTGAAGATGTTGTCCGAGTCACACTCGAGCTGTCTCAAGAAAACATCAAGAAACTTAAAGAACGAGCCAAGAACGGGTCAACTCGGTCTGATCTTTACTTATCAACGTTCGTAGTCACGTACGCTTATGTGTTGACTTGTGTGATCAAGGCTCGTGGAGGTAGTGTTGATAGACCGGTTCGGTTTATGTACGCTGCTGATTTTAGAAACCGGTTAGACCCGCCGGTTCCTTTAACATACTTTGGGAATTGTGTGTTACCAATTGATTTTTATGGATACAAAGCTAAGACGTTTTTGGGGGACGATGGGTTTGTCAATGGTGTTGAGATTCTAAGTGGCTCAGTTAGAGGCTTGGGTTCACCAAGTTTTGAGTCAATATGGGAAGTGTATGAGGAAGGAACAAGAACTATGAGATTAGGTACACAAGTATTGACTGTAACCGGTTCAAACCATTTTGGGATATACGGTTTCGATTTCGGGTGGGGAAGACCGGTTCACACTGAGATTATGTCTCTTTACCAGAACGATGAGTTTTCTATGTCAGCTAGGAGGGATGATATTGGTGGTGTGGAGATTGGTGTATGTTTGAAGAAATGTGAGATGGATGTTTTCAGAGGGCTTTTTTTGGGGGAGATGGGTTTGTCAATGGTGTCGTGAAAAGACCCAACCCGTTTTTTTTTTAATCATGCAAATCGGATTAACCCAAATAATGCAAACCAACTAAAGCGGACTAATTAATTAAAACTATTAAATTCCAATTCAAACCGTTTAACCAGTAATTCTAATTTAACCAAACTATATAACAATAACTAGCAGAAGACTTAACCAAAAATTCAAATTAAACAATGCATTAAACCAGCAAGTAGTTCAATATCCAAAACAATCATCATCCAAAAATAGAATAACATCATAAAATGTTTATAAATTCCATATCTAACAATCTCCTAACCAATTCTAGCAATTATCCAGAACAATCAACGATCCCCTAGATCATTCTTCTATCTTCGCCATGATTTCACGATCACACCTTCCCTTTACCTGCATTACAGAAAGAGATGCATATGTATATTCATAAATACTTAGTGAGGCAGCATCCCCACAACTGGCTATACACACAAGCATCATAATTCACATATAAACAATAACCAACAATGATAAAATTACAATGAAAAAGACCATATAATCCGACATGACGAGTAGTGTCAATCAACACTCGCCACAGGTGTCGATCGACACTCGCAACCATCTTCGCGATACAGAAGATTGGTGTCGATCGACACCGACGCCCTAACATCACTCTAGTCGCTTCTCATCAATGGATATGCTTCTCCCATCAATCCATGGCCGAATAAATACTCTACAAGACTCGTCCAGAGGCACCACAATACAAGAAACACGCATACAAACAAAAAAAATCAATCAACAACCATAGAAATCACCAAAACATGAATCAAACAGCTTAGATTAGCCTAGGTCCTACACTCACCTCTTAAAAAAGACAGAACAACAAAGAACATGGGATGAAAGGGGCGAAAACACACATCCAGCAGCAACACAAGGCAGTTAAAAATTATCGATCACCAAAAAAATTGTGAGCTATTCACCATTTTTCATAATATTACTGTTACCAAATTTTTTCAAAAACTTAATTTAGATATTATACCCTAAACATGATTATACCAATACCCTAAAAATGTTATTTAGTAACTTCCAGTTTTTTTAAAAACTATTCTCGCATATTGTTTTACTATACAATTTATTGTATTTCTTAAACTTAATTAATTATTACAACATTTGATGGTAAAGTTCTAACAAATTAACGTCAATAAAAAAAAAGAGTTATAGAAGCATTAATTTTTTTTATAAATATGAAAGTATAAAAAATTAAAAATTAAAAAATAAATATTTTAGAAATCAGAATACCACGAATTATATTGACTTTTATTATCCTTATTTTTAAGTTAGTAATGTCAATTTTTTAGTTCTCTTTTATTCACCCACTTATTTTAGAGAATTTTTGAGAAATACCCCTTTTGGTGTACCCCTTTTTAAAAATACCCTCTTTATCTATCCATTTTCAAAAACACCCCTTTTTAAATATAAAAAATTATAAAGTTTTATATAGTTTATAAGGTACTTCTATATAATAACTACTACTAGGAGATTCGATACAAATAATTTTAAAATGTTTTAAATAGTTTTAAATCGTTTTTATAAGTTTTATATGGTTTTTAAAAGGTTTTTAAAAGGGCTTATACAGTTTTTATAAGGTTTTTATAAGGTTTTTCTAATTTATTTTTACGCTATTTATGAAAGGTATATAAAGTTTTATAAACATATAAAGGTAATTTGTGTATATATTTATAAGCTTACACACATATTTGGATAAATTTCAACATTTTTAGTGGGTTTTTGATAAAGTTTGAAAAAGGAGTATTTTTAAAAAGAGGTATATGAAAAGGGGTATTTTTGAAATTCCCCCCTTATTTTATCCAATGAGATTGCACTATGACATATTACCTTTAGATATAATTTAAAATTAAACAACATTTAAATATATGTACACCATGTCAAATGTGCAAATTCGAAAGCTATGAAACAAAATTAATTTACACGTCATACAATTATTCTATATGTTTCCGTTGTGCTACCCTCCCATTCAAGGAAAGGTATAAGCATGACGGTCATTTTCTCACAATTTGTGATGGGATAGAGGAGGTAAGTGATCAACCAAACTGGTGTGAGAATTGCAAATCCAAAATAGCTGAAAAGAAAAGAGAGGTACGATTTTATAAATGCAATTAGTGTTGCACCACTCTTCATGTTGATTGTTTATTTGGCGGAGACATGTACATGAAAGCTGATGGAACAGAACAAGAAGCCTTCTCTTTTCGCTAGTACTTGTTTAAAGATCAAGATTGGGATTGGATAGATGTACAGACTCTTCCCAACAGTTCCCTCTCCCGACCAATTTGCGCTGGATGCATGCGTCGTTTTCCATCCCAAATATTTTTTAAGGAAAAATGGGAAGGCACAATATACTGTTCCGTGGATTGTCTTCGATTTGCACCAGATGACTGAGCAAGTGAGCATCTACCGAGGTTGTCCCTTTCTTTTCTTTTTCTTGTTAATTTGATGTATTTTGAGATTTGGATATGTGTAGATGTAATCTTTTTCTATTTAAGGAAAATGTTTATGTGATTTTATATTTTCATCTCCTTAGCTATTTAGCCACAATCAACTACTTAATAATAAAGCAAGATAACGGTGATATTGCTGTCAATGAAATTTCTTTGTTGGAGTTTTGCTCTATCCTTTGCCATTGGTATTCTTGATTGCTTTCTCCATCTCCTTTGATTGTGGCTATGAAGTACCTAGTCTGACAACTCTGATTCCTACATACAATGTAGAATCTATGGTACTTACTGGCTTTTTTCGTACTTTAAAAAGATTAGTATATTTGAAAGCATATTGATTATTCTACTTTTAAGAAGTTAGTATCAAATCTAGATTTCCTATATCTATTAGTTAGCAATCGAGAAACTCTAGGAAATATAAACTAATTTATTATGAAATATTTAAATTAATTTTTTCTTGTAACATCTTTCCTTCTCCTTATTCTTTTTTGTGCACCCAATTTTCCTATATACAAATTACTGAATTAATAATCATAAAAAACAGAATAAATATATTTCCATATCTTAAATCACACACAATTCTGTATATTATGGTATTTAAAGATTCTCAATCATAAATACCAAATCTTATTGAGTAATATAAATCATAGATATTATTTTTGGGGGTCTAGAAAAACCCTACAGTTGGACTCTATAAATACCACATTAGTCACATACACTAGAATAGTTCTATAATCCCACGAGTAGACTGAAGGGGTGTTATTGGTTTGTGATTTAAATAGAGTTTGAAAGATTCTTAAAACTATAGAAAACAAGTAAATTTTTAAAAAGTCTTTTAAAATATGTAAACTTTACTTTTCAGAGTTATTATTTGTTTGGGCAATTTTTTAAAAGGGAAAAAACTAGATTAACCCAAATATAAAGAAATTAATTACTAAACTAACTTATAAAATATTTGGGTTAGTTGAGTACTTTTCATGACAAAAATACCTCTATAACTTGCTTTGTTAGGAAAAAAAGAAGAAGTCATTTTCACCCTTTTAAAAAATCCAGCGATTTGTAAAAAAAATAGAAAGTCTGTTGTAGGCCTGGGCATATTAACCGTATCCAAAATCCGAACCCGAACCCGACCCGAAGTAGGCAGTTCGGTTCGGGTATGGATAGTGGGTAATATCCGATCGGATTTAGTTTTCATAAAAATCGGATATCCGATCGAGTTCGGGTATTATCCGAATCCGAACGGATACCCGTACTTATCCGATCATAAATAGATTATATATCTTTAAATCTTTAAATCCTTAAATCATATATATAAAAGTAAGGTTCCACTCTCTCCTTATTGGTGGAAAAACATTTAAGCCCTTCATTTAAAAAAAAATAAAAAAAAAATGTTTATGACAATCATTCAATACAAAATTTAATTACACTATAAGTTATAATCAAATGGCAAAGAAAATGAAAGGACTTAATCATATATCATTCAACAAAATAAATAAATAAATAAATGTTTATGACAATCATTCAATACAAAATTTAATTACACTATAAGTTATAATCAAATGGCAAAGAAAATGAAAGGACTTAATCATATATCATACAACAAATTTTATAAGCTTTATTGGTTGAAAATTATTTAAAATCATATATATAAAAGTAATGTTTCACTCTCTTTATTGTTCCATTTTGTATTTATTTTTAAAATATAATATTTATTTTTAACCAAAAAACACATTTAATCATATACATTAATTCATACTTTAAATTCACACTTTACTACTAAAATGAAACTGAAAATTATATAAATTTCCAAAGACTATTGGTTTTCTTTATTGAATTTCAATTAAACACACTATAAATTATAATTATAACTCCTCTAATTTAATTATTTTAAAAATGTAACTTACATCACTTCTTATCATATAAATAGCCATTCTCACATCCTTCTCTACCATATCTCATATCTTCATTGATCTCTTTGTTTTTTTTTAAAGTTCTTGCATGGGGTGAAAACTCATTTAAAATATCATTGTAAGAGTTTGATTAATTATTTAGTTTAAACTTTTGTTTTCAATTTTTTTTTTTTTTTTTTTTTAAGTATTTCTTTATGTATTCATTGTTTTTTATATTTTTAAATGTAATACATATGTATAATAATATTTTATGGTTATAAGAAAATCAAGCTAAAGAAACCATCTTCATTCTTTTACTTTGGATGTTTGTTTCTTTCTCACATATTCATGTATATTTAATTTATTTTCAAAAGTATGTAATTTTTTAACAAAATAAACTTTTTGTTATATAATTGTCAAACCAATTTGTAAGACATTCTTTTAAGAATAATGACCCATATATTTAGTTTGTGATTCAACTTGTAATAATACAAAGAATAATATAATTTGTTTTAACTTTGAATTTTATACTTGATTTCCTATCTAAAAAATAATTTGATATTCCATTTTCTATCTATTATATATACTACAAGGATGAAAAATATAATTAAACCTAGAAATATAACTTAAATTAAGAGGAATATAAAAAGAGATTAAAAATAGAATTATTTCTTCGGAATT